TGACGATCCATCATCATTATCGTCGTCAGAAGAACAGAACGATAACCTATGCCCATCTCTAAAGACGCCTGTTTGGGATGTTTTCCTTAAACAATTGCACATTTCTATTTTATGCTCGTAAACATTTCGAGGGACAGAAATACCCTTCCAAATGATTACCTCCTACGTTTCCGTGACTCAATTCGTGTAATCGGTGAAGGCTCTTCACTTGTGAGATTCCTGAAACGCGCTGAGATCAACGTTCGTACGCCATCACGTGCAGTCGGTGTCAGATTTATTTGTGTTGATTTCGAGATGATATCTGCCGAGCCGCTCGAATCCAGATGATCATTCGATGGTATATCATCAAAGGAAATTGAACATGTTGCAACTGAACTAGTTCGGTGTCGTTGACGTTTTTCCTCGAGAATTCTTTCTGAAAAAAAAGAAAACAAAACTTCACGATAGAATTTTCGAAAAGAAACACTCGACTGTTGAATCGAAATATAATAAACTGACCAAAATTTGCTTTCGCTTCCTTTAAAGATCGTATTATTTCAGCAGTATCATCCATGACCGATTCATCAAGTTTTATCACCTCCGCTGGTGTTTTACTTGCCGACACTTCTGGTGATACCTTACGAAAACCACAATTATGCGTCTTCAATACTGGAGGTGTCACCTAAACGAGACTTTTAAAAATACCTCAATAAATATGTAACATCCAAGTTATCCGCTAAGTTTTCCTTAAAAATTCAACCGTGGCAGATCAGAAAATCGGTTGCTCATGTACTTTCAGAGCTTTAAGCATAAGCTATCTCACTGATCGAGTTGCCAACGAAGCTTATTATTAAACATAAATGTGTCCAACCATTCGCATCGATATTGTTTACGATACAACTTATCAATCCAGACGAATTGTTATTTCAAAATGCAACAATCTTAAACCAAATGCAGTATGCACAGCACAAAAACCAAGTGAAACACATAACATGTTATGGAGCACTAACATCAATTTTCCGCGTGGTACCACCACTGTCCTGTTCGCTGGAATTCGTCGAATTCACATCAGTGCTTCCGTTCGAAAACCAACGATCGAATTCCTCATCAAATTTTCGTTCATCAACTGAAAAATCAAATGCCTTTAGATTTGCTAACCCTTATACTTCTCATTCAATTCTGAACACTAGTGCAAACACACAAATAAATCCAGAAACAAAAAATTCTTGTCGCATCAGGCTGTAGCTAAGAGTGGGATGTTTTCAGGCTGAGCCGGTAGACTTTCGGTAGACGTAATAAAATCAAGTACAATTATGAAACAATAATACCAAGCACCAGGTTCTTAAAATCATATCTGGGCATCGCGTGAATACTTCTTGACTGAATTAATTGTGTGTGGAACATACCAGCCGTTCGAATTTGTGGTGCTTGACTCTTGAGTTTGCTGATTCGATCGTGAACGAATACCGGCGAATCGTGCCATTCGATTGAACTCGATGAAGTGGCTCGCGACGACATAACACTTCCTCCACTCATACTTACACTGAATTTACACTGAAACGGAACACTTTAGATGGCACGATAAACTTTGCATCGCATAAAACGATACCTGAAAGTCACCATTGTAGTCAGTTTTCACTCTCCCGGAATTCACACACACTAGAGGCAATTCTGTCAGTCACCTGATCAGTATGAAGTAAGCCAGATTACATAGAATTAAATGATTAAATGCAATTTAAGATAGATTTTAAAACTTAATTCCTTTAGATATAATGCAACTTTTGAAATCTTTGGTATATTCTGCGAACATTCAAAAAGTTCATTTCTTAAAGATTCCAATTGAGTAGCAATGAAAGTATGTGACGATAGACACAGCTCTATAAGAACAAGTAGTGATGATGGCTTGTTCGAAATAATTCTACCTTATTGCTAGGGCTATCGTAAATCCATGCGATTAAAGTATCATTACAAAACTCCTTATCAAAGTAATATATGTGAAGCTAGAGAATAATTCATCTAGATCATTTGAAGCAATCTGAGCTGCATCCAAAATCTAGTGAGTTGATTTCTGTACAGCTATCATCTTCGAGTTTATTCATCTCCTGACAATCGTATGGATACATGAGAAGATTTCTGAGCAGGGATGAAGCTCTCAACGCATCAACGAAACCTATTCAGCTATTCAGCTATGCCCAAGAATCGCATACAACTGGGTCGTTATGAAAGTGAACACTGAAACCTCATATGTGTTGTTATCGAATAGAGCAGGGGTTCGCATAGGAAGGAAATTACCCATTTTGGATAATTTGAGGATGTCAGGGGCAATGAAGGAGATCGGAAAATTATTTCTGACGTTATGCGTAGAAAGTTATTGTAGCGGGAGGGGGGAATGACAGGGGGAGGGGTAATGACAGACCATCGAAGAGGGTAATGGAGCACCCAAGCGTAGGGACCATTGGAATAGAGGAAGAACTAATATTCTAACTAAATGCGAATGCATCATGTTGATACTGAAGTTTGCTTGCATTATTCAAGGATTCAAAAGTTCGTTGATTTGATACCCTTTTGATTTGGATTTGACTCAGCATGAACTAAAAGTTCAATTCTTTGTGGCCGAAACGACTGAGTCTAATTAGAGATTTGTAACAATCTTGCTTTTTCATGCTATTCCCTAACATGTCTTCAAACTTAAAAATGAAAGAAGCATGCAGAGAACATGCAGAACAAGATGATATGATTACATTAAATCATGCAATCAGCAATGTGGAAGTATCCAAAAGTTATGCTGCATTGCAGCAATATCCATCTCTCTTTCAATACACAAAGGTCTTTCTACTTTACACGATTGCCTATGTCAAACTCAAGCGTTCTCGATTGCGTTAATGTGGAAATTAATCATGAATTGTATTCAAAACAACTCGCTCGCTCACCATACACAGTTGTTTACATTCATAACTTGTTCCATCGCTGATAATCTTATGGCATTCACCCGTGACTTTTATTTGGAATTTGCTAACAAAACCTTAATGATTCAATGCATTTAAATTGAAATTTTGAAAATTTGAAAATATCAATTTGATTTCGCAGTTAATAAATAATATCAATGGAGGCTTTTTTTGGGTGGGGAAGGGGAAGGGA